TTCTTAAACTATATAAATTGTTTAAAACACCCTCTTTATTAGTTGGAAAGTACATTGAAATTTCTGAGTCCATGAAAAATCAACTTTTTATGGATACGCTGTTCTCACAGAACAGTGATGCCTCAAACATATGGTGATTTTGAATATGATGCATCACTGTAGATTAAACTACCCAACAGTGTACAAAGTAGTTCAAATGATGCAACATACACATTAATGCAGCAGTAATATGAATCCAGAAACATCAGATGCAATAGTAAAACACTGACAGGGACCATTTCACTGCATAATGAGTAGTTTTAATACTTTTACTTAAGTAAGGTTTTGAATGCAAGATCTTTATTTTTATTTTCAATGTGGTAAATTATTTGAATTCTTCTTCCACCGCTGTTTTGAACACAGTCAGAAGACAATATATAAACAATATTAACAATATATTGTGAAGATACAGAGGTGAACAATGTTTCTCATAGCACAGTTACTCCTTCTGAAGGGGATGATAGCAATGTTATGTATGAACATTTTTTCCATTAAATTTTTCTTTCCTTCTTTTCAACTTGTCAGCACCTGACAATGGCAGAATTTTTTACATTAGCATTATAACATCCATTGACCCATTTAGACTGCTTTTCTTGTCCAGAGTGGCCCAACTGTGGACATCCCAGTACACATACACACCTTGGACAGTTTCTATTGCATATTTAATTCACTAGCCTTCTTATCTTTATTGTGAAAATATTATATTATGAAAGGGTTGTCCTGGAAGTGAACAGCAAAATAATTTGAATACCGAGTGCCAAACAAAACAGAATAAGATGTTCAAAAGAGCTACAGAACATTAATAAAAACATATTAAATATTTAGAAGGATGTTTACTACCTTATAAAACAGTTAACCTGCACATAAATTAAACAGTTGTTTAAGAATTGCTGTAATAAAAAGATTTAGGAGTTGTGATACTTTTATGTTGAAAGTAACATTGATATAATTCCGGTTTTGTTCTGGATACTTTGACGCAGCTCTCCATCAGTATATCGGCGGGCTCCGGGGAATGCTGCAGTTTGATTTGATACCGCGAAGAGGCCATCATTTCACCGTGGAAACAATGTTGTTGTTAATGGATCTACCAATTAATATATTGTGTTAATACTGTGTGTGTGTGTGTGTGTGTGTGTGTGTGTGTGTGTGTGTGTGTTACATATGTGGAGTATATATACTAAATCTGAGTCTCATATTTGCAGACAGCTTTACAGACAGTTTCTACAAGAAGTTATGTTTGATCTGTTTCAGTTTTATCTGCCAATCAGCGGGTCATCATACGAACTGTCTCTGTTTTTAATACAGGTGGTACTACTGATATGTCAACTTTTGTTTTAAAATACTTTGCTATAAGATAATCCGTTTAAAAATATTGTTTATAAAATGAATGCCCAAACTGGGTTGTTCCTAATTATAATGCAGATACATTTTTGATTTATTGAGATTAAAAAAAGGATCTTTTGGAGGGCTACTCAAATAACAATTAACTTCATCACAATGATTCATTTGTTTGTGGCTTCTGGTGATAATACTGCTACTATGGCAAAATATTTAACACCAAATTATTGTTTTTTTTATTTCTGAGGTCAAAAGATTGTCACTGTCCTCTGTTAACTCCAGCAGACATTGCTAGTTATATATGTATATATATATATACACACACATATATATTTAAATGTGTTCACTTCATTGGTTGGGTAAAACATTAGTGCAGCATCCTTGTGGGATGACTGGCCCTAGTGGTAAACATACCACCTCCTCCTCAGCTGCCTCAATACACCCGTTGTGGGGAAGCCCGTGTGTGTGTGTGGTGGTGCAGAGGACTCAATTCAGTGTGACTGAGACTTCATGATGTTGAGAAGTGTGTCTGTTTGCACGTGAGTGTCTGCTGCTGTCGTTCTATGAGGCTCACTTAATGGAAAAGATGAATGAATCCCCCTGCACAGTAGGAAGTACTAGAGCGTCTGATCCTGCTCTCTCACTCTCATATTTACTACCACTAACACACAGGCAGCTGCATGCTCCCCCAACAAGCAGACGCAGATGTGCAGGCATTCAGACACACAGAAGCACTCGCTGGCAATTTGCCTCTTCTCCCTTTTGCTTTATTCTCAGAAGATTACAGCTGGCTCATTCTCATTAATTGGCCAATCATCCAATAAAGATAAATGCTTTGAATAAATACCGTTGTCCATTTTCACTGAGATGGAACAGTCCACCCGCTCCAGTCCCCCTCCCCCTACAACCACCCCCTGTGGTCTGCTCTGCATGTTGCCATGCCAACAGGGACCTGGGCACCTCTGGATGCTCCAATCAAGTGTCTTTTTCTCAATTTCACACATGTACACACAACATTACAGTGAATTAAGAAGGGTGTCTGTGTGTGTTATGAGTGTATTGTCTGTAGCTAACAAAGGGCCTTATTCCTAATGACATATTGAGCTGAAGTCTTTAGATGGAGCGAGCCTCTGTGTGCAGCTGCCTCCATGTTCTGTGTGGAAAATTATAAACAGAGATTGACTTCCTTTTCTAGGTGTTTGGGTATCTTTCACTGGGTTCTTCCCATTCTGTGTGTTCATTGACTACTAAAAACAGATGCACCTGTCCATTATGTTTACACATTTATTTAGCTGACACTTCCACCCAAAGCTGCTTACAATAAGTGAATTCAGCCATGTGGATACAACCAAAACATTGCAAGAATCATGCTGGTACTTCATAATAATCTAACTGCTGCAAGAGCTGCATTTAGAAGCAATGAGAGATAGAGAAAGAGAAGCTTTTTGTTTTGTTTTTTTTCTTTCTTTTAATGGGCCGAGCAGTTTGAACAGATGGGTTTTCAGTCTGCGACAGAAGATGTGAGTTTCCACTGTCAATAAGGAGCTTGTTCCACCATTAAACAGTCATAATTTTGTTGAGCAGAGGGAGTAGTAAGTCTGTTGGCAGTAGAGGAGCACAGTGGAGGGGCTGGAGTTTATGGTTTGACCATGTCCTGGATGTAGGACAGACCTGAACCATCTGCAGCACGGAACTTCTGTCTTGAATCTGATTTGAGCAGCCACTGGTTTAATGCCAGCTCGGCTGCTGCATCCTGGATGAGCTGCAGAAGTAAACTGGCAAATGTATGCAGGCAGACCAGCCAGGAGAGAGTTGCAGTAGTCTAGAGTCTAGACACAAGATGACAAAAGCATGGGTGAGGGGTGAGACGTATCCTCCTGATGTTGTGGAGCATGAATCTACAGCATTGTGATGTTGCAGCGATGTGAGCAGCAAAGGGTACCTGGTCAATCAGTGTCACACTGAGGTTTATTGCAGTCAGAGCTGCAGAGAGCACAGAGTTCTCAATGTTAATGGAGAGGTCATAGAAGGGAGATGACTTCCCTGGAAGGAAGTGCAGCTCATTCTTGTTGAGATTGAGCTGAAGGAGGAGAGCATACATCCACAGAGAGAGAGAGAGAGAGAGAGCACGTGCAGCCACCTGGGTTTCAGACAGGGGGAAAGTCATCTGCTTAGCCGTGGTAGGAAAAACACAAAATCAAAAAGCCAAACATTCACCATGGGAGGAGTAAGAAGACCCGAGGCCACAATAAACTGGATTCAGGACTCTGGATTTGACCCCACTGCTGCTTTTGACATTCTATATTTTTCTTGTTTTCAACCATGAAAAGACAAAAACAAACGATGTGTTAGTCCTCATGCTTTCAGTCTAACCTTCCCTCCCTGTGGCACTCTGTGTCTGTGTGTGTGTGTGTGTGTGTGTGTAGTGTTCATTGTCTTGCCTCACATCTTTTTCTTGTCCTTTTAAAACCCCACTGTTCCCTACAATTTACCTTTTCTTTATCCCTCATTCCTGGTTCTCTCCATTTCCTCCCCTTCTTCTCCCCATCTTACCCTTTTTCATTATCCTCCTGTCACTCTCTCTTTCCCTCCACCTCAGCCCGCCCTGCTCACCCTCATTTTCATGTAAATTAGAATCGATTCTTCTCTCAGCACCCTTCTGTCCACACCAAATGCAGTGGCCTATGTTTGTGAACGACCTGAAAGAGCTTTATTTCTTCCTTTGTTGTTTGAGTGCCTTATCTACACACACCCAGTAAAAACACAGAATATCAAATAACTGTTCGTGTACACAGTTATTGACGACGAGGCATTTTAAAAGGGAGCTCTGAAATTGGACAACAAAACAGACTGTTTATCTCTGATTGTCGTAATGCCGCCATCTTGTGTTCAGACCTTTTTTCCCCCCTCTTTATTTCTCATAAAGAGTTTACATGTATAAAAACTGAGAACATGTGGAAAAAAACAAAATATATAAAATAAAAGAGGAATACATGAATATATAATAAGAAACAAAAAAAAAAGACAAAGACAAATGTTGCTGGGGGGGGTCTATATATAATAAATATCTAATATATAATACAGGTTGCTATAGTTTTAATAGATTTTTCGTTTTAAGGAGTGTCACATTTAGTAAATGTATTTTAAAACATCTGTATTTGCAGCGCGTTGTTGGCTCCTAAATAAATCACAGTGTGGTGGTTTATTTAGATGTTTTACGTGGTCCTGCGACCTGCCAGCACCTGACTGCTGTTGGCAGTGCAAGGGGAGTTTTCTTTATGAATAAATGTATTGTTTGAACTCCCTGACGAAGGCAACAAAGCTCGGTCTCCTACCAGTACATTTACATTCATGAATATGGAATTTGGCAGGTAAAAATAATAAGATGAATCATTAAGATAAATCATTAAGATTAATCATGTACACACAAATGTTCCTCTGTACGCCATCTTCTAGGAGACCAATCAATACATTCTTCCAAAGCAAGACGAAATCTGCATCAATATTTTCCACAGTAAAATCACAAAAGGTTTTACATTTTGCGGCCAGGCTTCAGTTGGCGTTCATTCTGACGCATTGCCCCGTGGGTTGATGGGAGTTGGAGTCAGAATGGATTCAGTAGGCTACTTCCTGCTTTGACAAGGAAGACCAAGAAACTTCGGCTGTTGACTGGAAAGTTGTTCGCCTGCCAAACTCTTTCTCCTCGAAGAAGTGAGCCCAGAGGCAGAGTAAGTGTGTATTTTCATGGTTTTATTAGTCGACTTGTGAAATGAAAGGATTTAAACACATTCTGAACAAGAAGCAGCGAACTTTAGTCAATGAGCAGTCGCCACTATTGTAAGGTAAGCTCGGCTGTACGTGGAAAATAACCCAAAACCAGTTTTTATTATTAATTTACTCAGGTTTTCTCATGAATAACTATATTACAATACACGTGAATTTGTTAGAAATATATAGGTGTGATAATGTAACGTAAAAAGCAGCTGGCGGTAAAGCAATAAGACTGTCAAAGCTCAGCCAGTATTGATTTAAGCTACCTGTAGGCTATCTGTCTGGTGGGTTCCCACCCTCATAACAAAATAGAGTTCACTCAATAACAATAGACATTACGTAAGGTAATAAATAAATCCACTGTCACTTCACATTTGTACACTCAATAGGTTAAATCCATTAGTTTCTGTCATTTGAAGTTGTTCCTTTCAAATTCATCACTCATACTTACTGATCTGTGCTTTATACTGATTTATATTTAGACTTTTACAGTGAAAACAGTTCAGTGTGAATTCCATAATCAAGTCAAGAGTCAAGAGTAGATAGCTTACTTCTTTATTTTTACTGAAGTTACAAACAGAAAAAGCCTCAGGATACAACGACAGGTTTTACTAGAGGTATGCAATATGATAACATACCATGAGACAACCTACATTTGTCTGTAGGTAGTTCTTCCTTTAGACCTTCATGAGCAATGTTACAAATCAATAATAAATGTGTTAGAATTGTACTCGATTTTCATATTAATTTAATGTAGGCTAGTGCTTTGATTTGTCAGGTATGCAATTTGCTGGATTTGCCAAAATCAGACACTTTTGTCGGTTTATTTCAAATTAATTTAACATAGGAATGTATTTTATAATCATATATTGATATTGTGATAGAAAATTACATATACCTTGATAGAGGATTTTATCAATATCAATCACCTCTAATTTCTACCAACAAAAAAAATTCCAGTGTGTAACATTTAGGAGGATCTATTGTCAGAAATAGAATATTATAGCCTATATATATTATATACGTTTGTTTTCATTAGCGTAGAATCACCTGATAATAAGAATTGTTTTCATTACCTTAGAATGAGCTTTTATATATAGAGACACCATGGCCACCATGTTGAGCTACCATATTTCTACAGTAGCCCAGAACAGACAAACCAAACACTGGCTCTAGATGGGACTGTTTGCATTTTTCACGTGTTTCACAGCCATCGTAGTTTCAATGAGTTTATGGGTAAAATTAATGAGTCGCGGTCTGAGACTACATCGCTCGGTGCCACTAAATCCTTCACACTGGACCTTTTAAAAACATCTCATGAAAATGGAGAAGCAGAACTTCACAGGATGACTTGCTACATCACTTCCGTAGTTAGGATACATTCTTGCACTGAATAGTTTCTTTCTTGAACATAAACAGATAACATGACTATTTAGACTGAATGGGATCTTTCTGTCCTAGACAACGTATCTTAGAGATATCAGGAATTCTTAGACTGAATGGGAGCCTGTTTACCTTTCTGAGTGCCCATTTTTTATCACATGGACGCAGTACAATGGCAAAAAGTCGGAAAGCACCATTTCTCTCTCTCTCTCTCTCTCTCTCTCTCTCTCTCTCACACACACACACACACACACACACACACAAGAAATGACAGATAATGAGAATCTCTGCTAACACAAGTGTAATTTGTATAAACTGATGAGAGAACTGACTAGTTATATTTTTGAATCATTTATGTTTGTTTCCACCATTAAAATGCACACATTTATATTGTTGAGCCACAGCCGCCCCTTTACCGTACTTTTTTGTACTTTTTTCTCTTTCTCTTGCTCAGATGTCTTTGATGGAGCGTGGGGTGGTTCGCCCAATTACGGCAGTGGCGTGGACCTCCAACTCCAGTACCTGCCCCAAAGATTACAGCCTGGTAGGGAACAAAGATTTATACAATTGTCCACATACAATAGTTAATTGTTGCCACCACAGTAACAATGTTAAACCCTTTAGAAAGCCACCAAATATATAGGAACCGGGTTGTTCCATGTTTCACTCCATAACTAATCTTTGCTTAAAGAGGAGCAGCTGTATTTGTAGGCAGTCAAATGTTGTTGTAAACGTTAAGTAGGACAGTTGTGTTTTGATGAGCTGGAAACTTGACCTTTTAGAAACTGAGTGGATGTTTAAAAGTGACATCAGCTGACTGTAAACTACCTTTTCTGGTTCCGGACAAAAACATGATGTTGTGTAGCCATGAATTTGTAAAAGTTTACTGTATGTGTGTGACTTGAACACTATAATGAACAGCATTGTGACTAGCTATTTAATAATAATAATAATTGTAGTCATAATTGTACCCTTTGGTTCTGAAGTTAAAGTCAATATTTGACTACGCCCACTTAATGGGCCTTTTTACAGCGGGAAACAAGAAAATTGTGCAATAAAATATGCAGATGTTTTTTTTAAATTAGTGTAACATGACCAGAGAAAACAGATAAAAAGAGGTATTCCCTTTTGCTGCCTCTTTAAATCAGATGTGGTTTATCTAACTGTACCCCTTTCCTTCTGCAGATCAGCATCACAGAAGACGGAGCAGCTGCGAACTTTACACGCAGCTTTGGGATGAAGTCTGGATATTACCTCTGTTACAGCAAGGTAACAGACAGAGATACAATATACACAGACACACACAGACAATACATGATATGTATATTTCCCATCAGCCCTCCTGTCTTCAATAAACAGACTGTATCTCTCTCTACAGGACTTGGCAGGTGGGATGGTGGTGTCAGATATTCAACTTATTTCAGACAAGGACTCTATTCCTCATGGTTTTAGCTATATAGCAGAGCACCTTGAACCAAGTGAGTGCATATACACACACACTCTTTTTGTTTTTCTATACTTGTGAGGACTTTCATTGACATAATGCATTCAGTAGTAACCCTAACTTTAACCATCACAACTAAATGCCTAATCCCAACACTTACCCTAACTTAATCCTAAACTTAATTTAAACCTTAAAACTAAATCATAACCTTCTGACTGTCCTTTGAAGTAGTGAGGACCTGCCAAAATGTTCTCACAATGCAGAAATGTCCTCGCTACAATCATTAAAAGTTAAAATCAGTCCTCACAAAGATAGCAGTACAAGCCCGCACACACATACGGGTGTTTACACAGTCCTGATATTTGATGTCTTTTTTACTCATTGCTGATTTAATCTGTAGTCTGATGGATGTTATCTGTATTTGTGTGTGTGTGTGTGTGTGTCCAGAGACCTCTGTTTCGAAGAAGAAACGTGTGTGTGTGAGCATCGTCCCAGTGGGCAGTGTGGACACAGCTGTGTTGGATATTAAACTGACAGCCAAAAGCAAAATGATGCTGCAGCATCACACATATGTTGGGTTGGTAACATTTGCATATACAAACATTTGACTTGTTTTATCAAAGCATTTCTTGAATTCTGTTACCCAAACACAGCGGTCTGTATTCTGAAATGAGTTATTTTAGGACCACTTGCTTTCGGCTGTACATTCAGTACATGAATTGTTCAGTTCTTAATGTATCATTAAATGTGCCCTTTCCACAGAGACATCCATGGCTATGTGTTATGGTGCAGAAAGGGCTATTTTTCTAGCCCCATGCCCCAAGCCAAGCCCCGCAGTGTCAGCCTGGACCTCCGCAGACTCTCATTGGAGCAACCGTCTGCTCCTCTGCCGCTCAGACCCAGGTACAATACTAAAATAGAGTCCTACAGTGCTTTTTGATGATTTAATTTAATTATTTATTGGGTGACATGTCTGGTGCACCGGTGTTTAAACACAGCCAATTCAAATGACAATAAAATGCAATCACATAGTTTCTCTTTATAGAAGATATGTCAAAATAAGAGAGAATGCGGTTTCATAACACTAGACTATAGCACAGTCTGTGTCCTGCAAATGTTTCACTCGTTGTTAAAATCTGTTCGTCTGTGCAGCAACCCTCCTCCTGCACTGCCCCATAATAAACTGAGTCAGAGACGCTGCAACCTCCACACCAAGGACAACTTGGACAAACCTGCTGACGGCAGTATCCAGGGAATCACAGGTACTCCAAGTCTTTCCTCAAACTTGTTACTATTTCTCACTGCAGACAACCAACCGGAACTATTACTTACCTTCCCTCTCTGCAGCTCTAGATGGAGTTCCCTTCAGCCTTCACCCAAAGTTTGATATCCAGGCAAATGGCACGGTGCGTTTGATCTTTTCAACAATACTTCAGTGATGGTTTCGGCTGTTGTTTTTTGCCTCAGTTTATCTCCTGTTTGGTCACATTTCTTTCTCTTTGTCATATCTTTCCCTTAGACTCTTCAGCTGAACTCTCAGTTAAACAACATTCGCATAAAGTCTCTCCAAGACATTGAAAATGAGGTAGCGTCACATCTGATTTGTTAGTTTCAGCCTTTTGATTCTTAAATTAAGAATGTAACATTTTCCCAACAAAGAATATACTCACTTTGTTTTTGGTTTTTGGTTTTTTAGTATAACTACACTTTTGTTGTGGAGGAATCTGCTGCCAAGAGGACCAGACCATCAGTGTCGGCAGGAAGCACTCCATCAGCTCAGTGATCTTTGAACTTTGACAACAATATCGCATCATGGTACAGATGAAGGTGTACAACATTAGGCTTCAAGTGGAATTATATGGATTTATCTTACCGGCGTCAATTAAAAGGTCATCTATGAGCGACTGCCCTCCTACAAGAGACGGGTCATACTTCTAAGCTTCCCTTCTATTTCTTTTTATTTGTCTGTACTCCACTACCAAGTTTTTATTTGCCAAAGGAAAAGCCTGTTTGAATGATACTTGTAATTATATTGTCTTAACATGTCTTTAGACTGTTCACCTTTTGTAAGACGACAGTCTTAGTCAGGTGTTAAAGGGTTAAAGGCATAATGACACTACCAATCTGTAGGGCATCTACTACTCATCTCTAGCATTAAGTCTACTGCCAGAAAAATGCTTTATTATATCATGAAAATGCACCTGACATTGAAGACCTGTGCTGCTTGCTTTGTTGTGTATTACCTGATATCCTCGAGTGTTACATGTCTTTAATTGTTTAAATCATTAAGATTTTCCTAAGCAGAGCTGTAATATTGATGGATGAACTTTGTCGCAGATGTTGAACTGAAGTCCCTTGATAGACTCAACAGATCTAAATGTGGGATATGGAGTATTTCTTGTATGAAGAGTTGCCTACTATCAGTTTTGTAATATTCCAAAAAGTAATATTATATCCTATTTTAAGGTGAATGGAGAAAGGTTGTATATTTTGCTCTGTGTGTTACTTAAATAAGATAATATGGTAAAAAAAAAAAAAAAAAAAAAAAAAGGGGGAGAGAATCTGTTTGTTTTTTTAAAGGACCAAGCATATTTATCTTTGTTGTTGTAAAATATATAAAGTTATGTTGTTTTTATGGTCTGTATATCAAACTGTAATTGCATGGAAAAAATAAAAAAATAAGAAGCACTACTTCAGGTGTGTTGGTTTTACATACAGTGCAAACTTACAGAAATACTGTAGATTGAGGCTATAGTTTGAGAAATAAAAAAATCCTTTTGAAATACAGCTTGAGAATGTAAATTAATTAGAGATATTTCAATAGTAGTGGCCTAAGTTAAGTAGTTCAAATAAAAGATCATATGGACAAAGAAAAACATGTCTTAACCTATTTATTTAGATGAATTTGATTGAGCATATATCCTACATGTACCATTTTATTCCTCCCTCTGGTTATGATGGAGAACTCCTACAGTTCTTTACTGTATGTTTACAGTTCTTTACTATTTTGACTAATATTTTCAATGTAAATGCAGCATCACACTTTTCTATTTAACTGTAGTCGAAAAACCAACACTATGGTGCGTTATACTGCCATCTGCTGTACTATTTTTGACTTGAAATATGTTTACATTGCCTATTACATCATTTCTCCCTGCTTAGTAAACTGTTGTGCAACCTGTCTGAAATCCTTCATATTTATGGTATCTTATTTATTTTTCAATTTTCAACGTTTGTGATGAAAAGAGCCAAATGGGCAATATCAATATCATTTGTACAAAATACTGTACTATAATTTTCATTATCAATTTTTTAAAAAAAGGTCGTGTTTAACATTCAGGAGGATCTTTTAGCAGAAATGGAAAATAATATGTTTTTATATTTTTCATATGTAATATGAAAATAGGTATGTTTTCATAAGTTTATAATCACCTGAATATAGGAATCGTTGCTTTTTTAATGACCTTAGAATTAGATGTATATACTGCAGGTCCTCTTCCTCGGAGTCCGCCATGTTGAACCATCATGTTCTCATTCCCAGGTCTTCTAATACGGGCGCGAGTAGTGTTCAGTTAGTTGCAATCTGCAACTTCACCTCTAGATGCCACTAAATCCTACACACTGGCCCTTTAATATCGCTAACACTCAGATATTTAAAAGAGATTGAATACATGTGGATATAGTTTGGGATTGTAAATACTTTTAATGGATTATTTTATTGATAATTATTTAACAATTAATTAAGTTTAAATTATTAATTGACAAAATATTACAGCACTGCTGTGTATGATACAGTTGTGTGAGTAATTCAACTAGTGGTGGTGCCTAGTATAAAATTACATTACATTATCCAAAAGAAAAGGTTGTCTTGATGCTTCTGTCTGACATTTTGTCACTTTTATATTATATATTTTTATTTTTTAATCATATTTCCTACAGTTGAAATGAGAAATAAACTTGAACTCAAAATGAAAAATGTCAGACGGTTAACAGACGGGGTCATTTCCAATGGTAATCTGTTAAATAATGACCAGAATGTGCTGGGGGCTGGTGGGGCAAACATTGGCTGTAGGCCCCTAATGATGGGGCCTCAAGTCAAGATTAGGTAATAATGCAGGCTTTGCCTTTAGGCCACTATAATTTCAGTACAGCATTAACAAACACATCTGTTTGTTCTGCTCGCTGATGGTTAATACACAGGCTTTCTGTTGACTGCTGCTTACACTTGAGGACTTGATTTGCAGCACTGCAGTTACACACTGACTCTCCTGCAGGTCTGTTTGTTCTGCTCTCCGGAAAAAGGGCTCTGATTCCAACCAGCTGTTTCCCGCCTCACACAGATCAGCTGCGCACACACACACACACACACACACACACACGTAGTAGGCGGAGGCAGCAGACACACACACACACACAGACACGTAGTAGGCGGAGGCAAGAAGCCACACACACACACATTGGAGGGAACCCCATCAGCTGTGGGAAGCAACACAGCCTGAACTTACTTTTATTTCTCTAAGTCTATTCTTCCGATTACCTGATTTTGAAGCGGTATTTTAGATATGCGCCATTAAGGTGTACAGCGAGAGCTCTGTGCTTAGAAACGTGTATTTTTAACAAGGACAGCAGTGGAGGAAGAAAGAAAAAAAAAACAGACAGAAAACACGGACTACAGAAGGTGGCTTTGAAAGCATGGAATATTTCATGATGCCGACAGAGAAGATACCGTCCTTACAGCAGTTCAAGAAGACGGAGAAGGATGTTATTGGAGGTCTCTGCAGGTGTGTGGCTCGCTATTTCTTTTGTTGATACGAAACTGCTCGCGCAAAAATCATCCCTCGTGTGGCTGTGGTGTGTGCATGTGTGTGTTATGCAGTCTGACTTCAGTTAGCATGCTAGCTGTTAGCTTCGCGGCGATGCCTTGGCAGCAGGAGCATGCTGGTAGAAATTAGCAGCTCGCTGGCCAGCTGCTGCTGTAGGCGACGAGGAAACGAGACGATAGTTCAATATGTGGTGTTACATTTGCTGATCGGGTTGCACGTAATAACCCGCAGCGCAGGTTTGCAGCCGCTCAGCTCAGAAATATGTAAATCAGCGACATGAAATCGATACATTTGGTCCAGTTGGACACCAACCACGTGGTAGTTAACGTGCTCCCCGCCGCTTCGCTGCTGTACACAAAATCATCTGTGTGTAACGACTCACTGCCCTTCAACACACACGGTGCTCACACATTTAGCTGTATGTGCTCACAGCTGGAGCTAGGACGGGGTTTCGGCTTTGCTACGTAGTTAAATAATGAACCGCGCAGCAGCCATGGTTGTGTCGTGTGCTAAAATTAGCTTAGCTTGGCTAACTAGCTAGCTATCACAGCGCCCTCGCTCTCTGGCCGTATGTGTGTGTGTGTGTGTGTGTGTGTGTTGACTTGTTTTACTCGTGTGTAACAGCTTGATGAACTGAAACATGTCGTCTGATCACAAGTGTAACGTCGGGCAGAGATCTGCCTCCGTTAGTGGGAGATCAACGAGTAGCTACGGTGCTAGCTCGGTGCTAACGGTAGAAAGCATTGTTCTCCATGATGCCAGGGGGCCTCCTCCTCCTCCTCCTCCTCCTCCTCCTCGTCCGCTGTTGCTGCTGCTGGCGGAGTCACATTTCACTGCTGCTACCGTCCAGACGGCCCGACGCGCCCTCCGGCGGCCATGTTGGAGGTCCGCAGCTCCTGGCAACGACAGCGGACAACAGCTGATTTCATGTCTAAACTTTAAACCCTCGACACGTTTCTCCTGTGTGGGATAGATGTGCTGTTTCTGGTCGAGTACCGGATATATTTGTGTCAACAGTACATACTAATCCTTTACGTACATAGTGAAACGTGTAGTCTGATTACCAGAGCTCATACATACAGGTTTTTCTCGCTTGATGGTGATGATGATGGACTTAAGTCAGTCTTTTGACATTTATTTACTAATCTTTTATTTTGTAGTTGGTTGTTTCACACATGGGTTGAACGTTAGACAGCATCTCACATTAAGTGAGCATGTTAACAACAACTATGTTGAATTGAAATGATCAAATTAAGCCCTAAATGTTGTGTGTGCTCCTCAGACTGCCTGTACATCCATTAAAAGGGGTTTAACCAGTAGGGTGAGATATATTTGAGAGAGCTGCTCCCAAAGCTTTCAAAGTAAGATAAAACTGAGGCACAAAATGAAACCGTTAAATTGAAGGACCCATAGGGAGTGTGCAAGTGTTTCTGAGGTATGGTTTTAGCTCTTTAGTTAAGCTGACGTCACTGGCTCTTAAACATACAGACTGAAATCCATTAAAGTATGGCTGCACACCCACACACTCATTTGTGTAAAAATGAAAGAGAGGGGGGAAAAAAGGGGGGACTTTGGAGCCATGTGAGCCGTGTCCTCTGTCTGACCCTCCTCATTTTCATAAACATCCCAGATCTGGTTCTTCGGGTTTGTTGTCTTCTTGGCACCGTGGTCATCTTCAGGCTTAATGGTTCACGTATTTCTCCCACTGAGTAAATCTGACGGAGGAGGTTTTGCCACCATGACATCCAGCCTGGTGGGGTGGAGGTGTGTGTGGGTGGGGGGGGGGGCACTGAGTTCAGCCAAACTCAAAGGCCTCTGTGCAGCTTGGCTGAGGAATGTAGAAAGGTCGGGACTGCAGCCTAGTAAAGTTTCAGGTTAAAGGTTAAACAAGTCAGTCAGAGAAGAGATTGTTTGTGTATTTATGTGGCCAAGAATAGCCCAGTTGGTTTAGAGGTGCTTGTTGTTAGCGGATTGTGCAAATTTAAATTCTTTCTATTTTAATCTTATGTCACAGTTTATTTTATCTGCATTGCCTGTGATGTAAACGGCTTAATTTGTAAAAAGAAACTTACATCCTTTCACCTAAAACCTGACAAAGAACGGATCAACATGTGCTTCCGAGAGGAGCTTCTGCTTTCTCATTGGAGTCTTCATGGACAGAATAATAATAGTTTCTCTCATTTTGATCTTTCTCCCTCAGCCTGGCCAACATCCCCCTCAGTCCGGAGACGGCCCAGGACCAGGAGAGACGAATCCGCCGTGAGATCGCCAACAGCAACGAACGCCGGCGCATGCAGAGCATCAACGCAGGCTTCCAGTCCCTCAAAACACTCCTGCCCCACACAGACGGAGAGAAACTCAGCAAGGTGCAGAAACAGCGCGTAGATCACGACACATTATGGCAAAGCTTTAAATCATCTGGCTCAACTGTTGAATTGTACAGCAGAAAACTAAAAACGTTTGACACCGTGTTCTTGATTTGGAGTTTCCTTTGCTGCCACTGCAACAGTTTTGGGAGAATGTAATGTTATTGGTCGATGCACTGGTCTCATGCTCTGCTTTGCTTCGTCCCTGCCAGGCGGCCATCTTGCAGCAGACGGCGGACTACATCTTTGCCTTAGAGCAGGAAAAGACACAGCTCCTGGCACAGAACAACCAGCTCAAACGCTTCATCCAGGTAACAGCATGGGCCATTTTTCACCATCATTGTGTCCCATTTAATACAGCTCTTGTTTACTACTCCATATAAGTCCACTATATCAAACTGTATGGTGTTGTATCTATCAGGCCGCCATAGGGTTTCCCTCCTTTAAGTAGAGTAAAATAAAAATGATCTGTAGAGATTTGAAACTTCATAACACTTAACTTCATGTTGCCTTTAGGACCATAATTGTCTGGTAAATGTATTCATTCAAATGGATTACCGTCCAACAGTGAAATACGTATTGTTCGCAGTTTGCCTCTGCGGGCTCGGCAAAAAGTCGCTCTTCTACAGGTTGTGCTTCACTATGTCATGCCGGTGTGTGGCGTGTTACGTAGGGTAAGGTTTAAATATGGTACCTGTGGAAGGTGTGATGTTATATCTCTGTCAGCTGGTGATCAACCAGGGGAGTCTGTTAGATGCTGGTTGAGTTCTTAAGGTCTATCAGAAGCACATATATCAAGTAGGACAGTTTATCTAATATCTTAGGGATTATTACAACCTATGAAAGCATCATTACAGCCAAACTTTAATTTCCTCTTTGCACAGCTTGTACAGTACTTTCTCAGTCTATGCAGCCGTTCCAAGCCATGTGAAAAATGTGTGTTTACCGGTCTCGTTTGTTTTCCATGCTGTTGGTTCACCTGTCGTTTTTTTATTTTCTTGCCACACCAGCCATTTGTTTGACTCAGCACAAGCAGAATGTGCTGCTGTTAAACAGAGTGGAAACTCCTCCAGTTGTGTGCAAACCAACTGGTTGGGTTTTCTAGCACCCCCACCCACATACAAAGTTTGAATATGTAAATATATATGTTGTCTGTTTTGTTTAACCGTTCATGGTCTCCATGTCACTCCAGGAGTTTAGCGGCTCATCACCCAAGAGGAGGCGAGCTGAGGAGAAGGATGAAGGGATTGGGTCTCCAGACACCCTGGAGGAGGAGAAGGTGGAGGAGCTGAGGAGGGAAATGTTAGAGCTGCGGCAGCAACTGGACAAGGAGCGCTCAGCTCGTATGCAGATGGAGGAGCAGGTGAGACAACAGGGGGAGCCGAGGGTCTTCATGACGCGTGTCCATTTCCCTGTTCTGTACTCAGAGTAGATTTTAGATGCTTGAGACAGCAGATAAAATAAATTATCCACATATTCAGGCTATGAAAGGGTCTTGTCTAGAGGTCACAGTTGACATGAATCACAAACATACTCAGAACAATTGTTAATTTTTTACCAACAATTTGTACTTCTAATCACTATATGGGACTTCTACAGAGTTATCAGTCACCTTAACAAGGTGGCAGCTGGTGGTGTTGACAGATTTACCAGTACAAAAGCCAGTTGCTGATAAGCTCACATCCTGGATCTGCCTGAACAGCAGGTTAAGACAAAGGGGATTGAACAGTCAGCGAAGACAAACAGAAACTTTAACAGGTAGTGAAAGAGGAACATAAACAGAAGGGGAATTGCAGCAATTTTTGGAGTTATTTCCAAAGTTTGGTTTCATGAGTTTTAATACGTCATACTTTTTGTTATTATTTCTCTAGAAATTATTCTTGTAATAATTGTGTATTAACGCAGTGATTTAGGTTATCTTGGATATGTTTTGCTCTTACACATGTCCTCTGTGTCGGTGTGCAGGTGCGATCTCTGGACACCCAGCTGCACCCCGAGCGCCTCAAGGTGATCACTCAGCAGGTGGAAGAGGAGCAGGCAATCCTCCAGAGCCAGACGCTGTTACGGCTGCAGCAGATCCAAGCCGCTGACAGGCAAACACACAGTCCACAGGTCAGAAACATACACACACACACACACACACACACACACACACACACACACACACACACACACACAGATAATGTAGTAGGCACCTGTGTTGTAATTTCCAAAACCATAAGACGCTGCAGTGTGTTGAAATGGCATCTGAAGTACTCATTATTACTCATTACTCAGTATTTAAATCACAGTTCTATGTGAACACATACAGTCTCAGGTTTAATAAACACATTTTCATTTTGTTCATGTCTTGTCTGTCCTGCAGGTGCTGGCTCCTCCCACTCCCCCAGCCCCTACCCACCACCCCACGGTCATCGTCCCAGCCCCAACACTAACCCAGCAACCCCATCATCACGTCACCGTGGTGACCATGAGCCCGTCAGCCCACACCAGCACTGTGTCCACGTCCAGACAGAACCTGGACACGATTGTGCAGGTAAGAGTTAGTTTTACTTTGTACTGAAGATCCTTTTTTACTGTCATCTTTATTCCAATTTCCGATACCAAATTAGCCAAATTGAATTAGTTTAAAGAGAGAAAACATTTTGACTAAAACTTAACGACTTTTCGTCGACTAAAATGGCCGCCAAAATGAGCACTGGTCCTCATTTGATAGTGAAAACAATTGTCTCTGAGCGGACTGAATATTTGCTGCAGCCTTCAGTGTTTTCCATCCTCTGCTTTCAGGCCATCCAACACATCGAACGCACTCAGGAGAGGAGAGCGAGCGCCGAAGAAGAGCAGAGGCGAGCGGTCATCGTGAGTCCTGCCCACGTCGCCATGGACACCGCCTGCTCGGACACAGACACCGACACAGAGGGGGAGGACTGCTCAATGAACTGATCCAACCCCATGAACTCACACACAAAACACACAAACACTTAAAATACCTACTCACTGTAAGATTCCCTCCAGGCGCTTGACTACTTTTTAAAAAAAGAAAAAGAAAAAAGAAATCTGTCTTTGGCATTATCCAAACTCTTAAATCCAGTGGTTAAGCTTTGTCTCAGTCTCGTACTGTAAAATCTCTGACGATTGAAAACATAGGATGGTCAGCGTGCAGAGGAGGCCTTGTGGGATTTCTAGAGGCTGTTTCTCCCCCCCAACGTCAGAGCCGGTCTGTGGCTACTTGAAAACTTGAGGGCCTCCTCGTGTAAAAAGCTATCAGCATCAGTCCGTCCTTCATGTGTGTTTATGTGTGCTACGTAACAGTCGCAGTATCACAATTACCCATCGTCTCTGGCACGCTGACAGTATTATTTGTGCTACAAATTGATGGAGTCAGTACAATGGAGAGTTGAATGTAACAACACAATAAGCAAGCAGCTCCTGATTCTCAAAAGAAGGATGGAGTTGCAGTTATTTCTTCCCCTGTCTTAATTTGTTTTTTTTTCTTTTTGTTTCCTGGTTGGCCAGGTGATATTCTAGTGCCACAAAACCCAACTTAAACTACAACAGAAGGCATTTCTAAAATTTAACAAGTTTGGGAAAAATTTAAACTTAATTGCAAAGCTAATTTGAGGATAGATGTTGAATGAAATCATGTCGGATTTACTTGAAAAAAAGGTTGTGTTTTTGATATCTAAATAAGCCCTTAAAAATAAGCTGTTGAACAATTTACATTGATCGTCTTTTGGTTTTAATGTTTTTCATGTTTTTGTTAACTTTTTTTTCTGTCAGGGTTACTGAATGTTGAAGGTAAAAGATTTTGTTATATTGAGATTAACAACTTAAAATTGAGGGTTTGTCAGGTTATAACAGGGAACCGGAGGCCTGGAGATGAATTTTACAAAATGTTTAAATTGGGCCCTTTCATATATCTACTGGTGGCAGTGGTTGTTGCACCGTTAACCTAAAAAAAACAGGTTTTTAAAAATAGATAAAACCACATGTTGACTGGTTGCTGGAACACAAATTTTCAGTTTCAGTCTAACACAATTTGACTGGATCAAATGTAGTCCTTTTTTTGGCTGATGTGAAAATCTGAAACAGATTTCCATGATTCACAGGCTCCGTGTGCATGAAGGCTTCCGGTTTTCCTTCAAAGACTTCCAGTCTATCTTCTGGTCTTGGATTGTTGATTTCAGTGACTATGCACTAGAGTTGGTATTTATGCAATTCCATCTTCAGTACATTTGTTGGTATCATTTATACATGAGGGGCAGTTATCTATGCACCGTTGATAGGTGTGTACATTACACCTACAGTATATGTTTGAAACAAAGAATGTAGTCTCTACTTGTAAGGTGCTCTTCGTCAAACTGGGGCTCTGCTGACCAGCAGTGCACTCAGGCCCAAAACCCTTTGTGTAACTTCACACTCGATCACGTTTATTACACGTGTCTGAATATTTTTGCTAAAATGATATGTGTCATTTCCCCATCTTGGAAGTGCTTTGAGAGTAGAGGAACAGGGAAGAGTTGTGTCTGATTACAAATGACAACATACATATATATATATATATATATATATATATATATATATATATATATATATATATATATATATATATATATATATATATAATATTTTATATATATAATATTTTATATATATATATTAAAAAAAACTATAAAACACAGGCAGGCCACATCTTACTGAACTCCAACACAGAAAGCATAAGTGTGGGGAAAGAAAAGCTCTAGCTGGAAAACAGCAGCTTTATTGTGATACTAAGCACGTACTTGCAGATCGGTGTACATTTTCGGTGCATCAGATGCCACAAAAAGTCCAGAACTCTAATGAAAAGCACTGAACTGAATTGTAGATCTCTCCCCAAAATCTCCATCTCTCTAAAATGCACGAAGTCTGTCCACCTCATGTTTTGTTGCTTATATATTCTCTCGGGAATTTGACTGGAAATCCCTGCTTCGAGCCTCCCTCCTGTCATACTCAATTTGATATGCTGACTTGATGCTGTAAACATTCCTTTTTATTTGGATTTGTATCTGTCTTTTGATCTCTTATATGTTCTGTTGCCAATTGAATGCATGTTACTAATAGCTGTTTTCTCTCTCTCTCTAAAGCGGGCTTTTGTTTTGACATTTTGTTTCCTTTATTGCGGGTTTCCCATTTTTTTTCATTAACACACGACGGATGTGTTCAGTGTGAAACTGTCTTGTGTGCGATGCGTGGACACTATTCACTCACTGACATCAATTTTGTATCTGGTTAGACAATTATTTTTCATGCCAAACGGGGGGAAATTCTCATTTTGTTTGTGAAACTTTGAGGGTATGGTGTTTTGCTGACCAATGGTAAGAATTGAATTTAGGCTAATGTGTGTTTTTGGTCAGCTAAACACTTTTCCCCAAACGTTTCTGTACATTGTGTTGCAGCACTGCTGTCTTTTTGGTGGAATTTGAGATATTTGATATGAAGCACTTGCTGTTCTGTACTGCCTGAATCAATGATGAGGAAAATATTTTTTTTTAGCCATTTATTTTTTTGTAAACTCTTTTGCTGTGACACAACAGCAGTTTGTTATGTTCTGCTCTTCTGTCTTTTCATCTGTCTTTCTTGTCCTGTTTTCCATTTTTGGTGACACGCATTTTTTATATTTTTGTGATGTTTTTTTTTCCCATCAGTCCAGGTCGATGAGAAGCTGTTATATTTTGTTTATAAAAACTTGGGTAAACAGGCCTTTGTAAAGATGAAAAAAAAATAAAATTTGTACTTTTTTTATTACACTCCCTCTGCCTCCTAGTTTAATTCAGTGATGCATGATATAAACCCTTTTGTCCACCAGATGGTGACATTGAGCGACTCCTCATTTGGCAGCAGCTGCAGTGTGGGGACGTTGATTTGCAGCCCGTTGTTCAGATTTCAGATAAAAACCGGTGGCACACAGGTTTCATTTGAATCCCCATTTAAGTAGGAACAGCTCCTAGAAATCTCCAGTTGTGTGAAATGTGCATGTTTTACGAAAGAATTACCTCTTTATCTTCTTAGCACTACTGAATGGTATTGATAATTAAAATATTATTTAAATCTCTTGATATCAACATCATCTACAAAATTAGTGACAAGTTTACAGGACTACTATGTCATGGTTTCTTACTGCTTCTTTCTGCTCTCAACATTCCTGATTGGTACAGGCAGCTGCTCTGACACACAATGGCTGATATGGCTGCAGTTGCTGGGTACCACCTCCACTGGCATGCCCTCTAACCTTCAGCCAGAACAGTATATATAGCTGGGAGAAATGAGGGGAAGGCCCCTGGCAGCCAAAATGAAGTCTCTGCTGTCTGTGTGCTGCTTGCTGTCTCTGCTGGCTCTGTCTGCTGCAGGTATGGTGGAGGGCAATGGGATTTGGGTGAAACCGTTTTAGTGCTATTGGATTGAGTTATTTAAGCAGGAGAGCTGTGTGAAATGAAAATGCTGATCCACTGCTGTCAGAAAGCTACATTATGCATTTGGTCTGTGTCTTTGAACATGTGAGAGCTTTGTGTGTCTTGCTAAGAGTTGACTGTGGACGATGATTTCAACGTCATTAATGAAGGAAAGGTTAAAAAATCAGTCTCTTTATGATTTATTTGATTTAATGACTATAAATATGCAACTAAATGAGTTGCATTTATTACCAATGAACTAATCATTTTGCTTTCTGCCAGTTTGAGGTTGTCTTTCAAATGTGCAGTGTTACACAGAGCATCCATTGCCTCTTTTCTGTATTGTATGGCCTAACGTAGCAAGAGCTGGGTTGAAATACGTTCCAAGTTTTGACACACGTCTACACACTCAACAGCATACTTAAACTCAGCTGACTGGGCAGGAAAATTGTGCCGTATGTTGTCGTGGTGCAGTGTGGAGCCTTTGTGGCTGTACAACAGAAAAAGTCTGAGGTGTGACACCAGCTGCTGGAAACTTTCCTGTCTGCTGCTTACTCTCTCTGTCCTGGAGAGAAACACAGTGACAACACTAACAGAATGACTTGGACTCACTACAAAGAGTCACACTCGCTGCTGAAGCCAAAGCAAAAGCTGGCTGTAATTATAAGTTTTCCCTCTGGATCTCTTTTCACAGCAGTTGCACGCAGTGTGTAACTCTAACAGTCAGTGCTCAAATTAGGGTTTTTGCATTTGATGTTTTACAGGCTTACTTTTAATACCACGTCAAATTAATGAATAGGTTTTCAAATGAGCATGTCGGATATTACAGCTTTGACATTAGTGATACATAATTAAACTATAGAGGTTTATGCATCCTAGTTGTTGCTCTGCTTGTTTTTACAGGTTTTACAGACTGTTGCAGGTGACTTCATGCTTTGTTAAAAGCTGAGGCAGAGAATACCCTTGTCTGTCCTTGCACTGGTTCATTTTGGACTCTGCAAATTGCCGTAGTCAGGTGTCAGGCGTCAGTCAGACAAAGTCACCAGATACTGTGGTCACCAGTGCCACGCAGTGATACGCATCTCTTTAAGACTCTCGGCAATGCACACACATCTACATCATGTACGCATACAATGACTTGAAATGACCTGAAACGAGATCATCATAAAGTTATACACGAGTACAAATACACTCCATGTTGACGACTAAAGTCAGTGCCGCATTAAATGTCTCAGCAAAGCTTCATCACTCCCACTCCGCTCTGTCTGCTGAGCTGCTAATCTGTCATTTCAGTCAGCAGGGTCCATGTCATGGGGATGTCCCAGCTAAAACAGGCATGATAGAGCACAGCAGAGGGCATGTAGGACTAGAGTTCAGTAGTCAAAGAGTTGGACTGTTAGTCAACTAGATAAACAAGTGCTATTACAAGTTGTGGTAAATGGGAAAAAAAACTGAATTAGTGATGGAGCTCAAGTGGCAACATTCCCCCTCCACACATCCTATTTAGATCTGTGATTGTGTCTCAGGAAGTTTGAGATTTGACAAAGATAGCATACACAATTATAACAAAAAAAGGTGTTACAAGTTTATTAGCAAGAGAGAAAGAGTGTCTGTGAGCATTAGGGGAATAAGAAAATATCACCTTTGAGTATCATAATGTTTTGTTTTATTATATTGTATTGATTCAGGGAAAAGAAACAAATCAAATACATTTTTGTACTTTTGTACTTCAACCTTTAGATACCAGTGTTGAGGGCTATGATATCAGATGTTACAAGGACTGTGATAAATACAAATGCAGATTATATTGTTCTGTTCTGGTTGCATAAGAAGTAAACCTTTTAAACTCCTAAAAGTAGTTTAGTTTTCCTAAAATTATTTTATTTTAAATTTGCAATATGTCACAAGATATTGAACTGTAACCCCTGTGTTATGATGCATATTTCATACACAGCCCTATGTGTCTGCAAAAAATGGTGTTGCAGGTATGGCAGTGATAAGCTGAGCTCAAACAGGTTGTGTAGTTAAAGAAATTAGAAAGCACACCACTTACAATTTTTTTAATGAGCCAGAAATGCAAAATCAGTCCTCGCTGCATTTTTGTGTTCCTGTGCACGTTTGTTTTGGGCACTGATTCATAAAAAGAAGAATAACCCATCATTCATTGAGCCTATTATGCTCGGATTACACGGTAGGCAGGGTGCATGTCATCAGTACAGGGTGCTGACGCATTTATTGTTCCTGGTCTTTATAGAGATACTGAGTCACACACAGCCCAACACTGTTGCAGGGAATGTGAGCAATAGTGCGGCAGAGTTGCAGACCAGCCTCATGACAATCACAGCAAGGACAAGAGTGCTACACTTCCTGAAAATAGGAGTGGAATTATTCCTCCTTCTTTTCACCCTCTGACTCATTGTGGGACTATTTCTGTCTCAAAGATGTACCATCCAGCACAGGCACCTGTCCCACTCTATCCCCAAAACACTGTGCTGTGCCCAGGCTTCACTGCAGCGACAGCAGGAACCACCAGAGAGGCACATTACACTAAACTTTAATGGTGGTAGAAGAAGACTAAAGATCTGCACACAACACTCATAAGTCTTGATACACAGTAACACTGACAATAATTTGATGCTCCCTCAATGTTCAGAACCAATAAATAATTACACACCATATGTATGCTTGAGGCAACTTCAGTTATAACAATGGCATTGCAAATGAATGTAAATAAAAATACTATCAAAAATCACATTTTAGAGCTACACTAATCAGTATTTTATTATTAACAATAGGTTAAATTATTATAATGTGAAAGAGCATGAGAATAATAATAATGAGAATTATCACCCAACTGTTTCCTCACAGCTCTACAATGCACTTTAGTGTGTTTTAGCTCATTGGTTTTACAGGCTGGAACTTTACTAATAGTTTCACTCTCATGGCTCTCATCAACTTTGTTTCTGCTCTCAGGAGGCACATTTTAGTAAAAAAAAAAAAAAAACAGTAGGCTACACTGTACCTGACCAGCACCAAACTGCAGGCAGACATATTTGAAGAATCTGCTGGAAGATTTAGCAGCTAAAGAGCTAAATTATCTTTTCTCAGCAGTTGGTGGAGACCAAAGCAGAGCAACTAGAGGAGTCAGTTATAATTACATTCAACAGGTAGGAAGAATCAAAACTACAAAAAATGAATGCTAATGTTGCATCATGTCTGCTTGATGCATAAGTAGGCAACTGTTTGCTAACATTCACCATATCAACTTTATAAGGTCATAATATGTCAATGTTACGTTTACGGCTTGTTTCTCTGACCCCAAGTGGCCTAATAAATATTAGTTCTGCTTTAAAATAACTTTAAAAATCTCTAAAATTATGCTAAATAAATAACTATCCCTATTTGCTACACTGAATGTATATAACTGTACCATCAGAGTACCCAGACAGATAGCAACCATCCCATGTGGTGTCCATGTGTGACAGGACCACAGTTTGACTGGTATGCAGGACCCTGGGAATATTTACATGTAAACTAACAAGACACAATTTACAGCCATACTAGTGGGTCCGTGATGGCAATGTCAGCATGCTAATATGATAACAGTGACAATGCTAAAATGCTGATGTTTAGCAGATTTAATGTTTACCAAGTTCACCATCTTGGATTAGCACCTGACACAAATAGAACTGCTTGAGGCTGATAATTAATTAATTAATTTTGCAGCTATTGGATCATAAACCAAAGCATTGCAAAAAGTAATGATCCAATGATGGCACTAGAAAAGTTAAGAGATTACCAAAGTTTTTACAGTTCACCCTGACAGAAACATGAATGTCTGAACCAAATTTTGTGCCAATTATTCCAATGGATTTTGAGATATTTCACTCAAAAACCATAAATGTTAACCTCAAGGTGGTCAAAAGTCAAAGTTATCAGGATTCATCCTCATCCTCTTTTGAACATCTGTATAAAGTGTCATAGCAATCAATCCAGTGGTTGTTGAGAATTTCAGTGTGGACCAACCAATCAAGAGACCCACATACCATCCCTAAAGCCACGTTGCAATCCTGATTAAAAACAGAAAACCTACTGCTTCTTTGGCTTTCCCAACTAATTCAGTAATGTATTGTTTTGTGCACTTGTCTGCCTTTTTAAAATGTTAATCTTAACTAAAAAATGTCTCAAAGATTTCACAATTTCATTTTCACTTCCATTCTTTTCCTCATATTTTCTTCTCCCAAGGTCACATCTTTCCCATCTTCCTAACTGTGTTAACTTTAATTTAATTTAGCCATCACTGGCTACTAAGACAGCAGAAAATGATCTCTCCACTTTATCGTCAGAACTATTTTGAGGCA